CGTTTTGCTTATCTTACGAATTATCAACGAGGTCACGATAAACTTTGGTGTTGGCCGTCTTTGCCGTGGTTGTGTGACGATCGCGATTGTTTTGATTGTGACATTTGACATGACGTTTGTATCACCAACGCCATAGCGCGTCAACGCACAAACACTCCGTCTGCTGTAGCTTCGAGGCACGGTCTGCGGCTAGCCACGTGTACGGTACCACGAGCGTTGATGCCAAAGTCAAAAGTAATTCGACATTACTGTAATTTCCTGACATTTCGATCTTCCTCCTGCAAGATCCTCGAAGGACCTACATACCGCCGAAAGATAGCCGTCGTCATTCCTGGCGCGTCAACACCATGGCGGGAACGCGAACTTCGGGAAGTCGCTGCTGGGGCATGATACTGTTAATGATCGCCATGCTCGTCGCGAGCGTTGTTTCATCGCCAACATGGATGTCGCCATCAACATCGAGCTTGAGGAGAGAGGGAAATGCTACAAAGTACTGTGGTTGGGAGCTCATGCAACACCATCGTATGTCGATCTCAACTCTTACACCCACATTCGATTCTAATACTACCACACCAGAAATCCCCATCGCCAAACTCGGCACCTGGTATGCCGAACAAACTGGTGATCGCTCCCTATGCGTAAAGCAAGATGATGGATCCGAGTATTGTACTTGTGTTTACCAGTGTGGGAATGGTGTTTGGGGAGAATTGAAAGAACATGGCGGAAGCAAGAGCGATGATGGCAAAGAGGATGATGATGAAGGAAGGGAGAAAGAACGTGAAGATGGAGACCAGGAAAGAGAGGATGCGGCAGAGTATGCGCGGTACGGGTACTATATACAAAAAGGACTGGGCGTCAAGTCCGGGAAGTGGAAGTATGAGGTCGGGTGCAAGAAGTATTGTCATGCTGGGGTTTGTGACGGCCAGGACTGAGGGGAAGAGCGGAGTCTGATATGGGTATGCGGAGGTAAAGGCCACCTGGGCATGGTGGTGATGTGTTTTATGACGGTTTGATCCTACGAGTTGACCCAGCAGTTGGGTGCGATACTGGAAGATGGAGGTTCCGAAACACGGTTTCTCTTGTCATTGTCTCTGGCGTCGTGCTGTGAGCATGTGCTTAGGTGGTATTACCAATGCAGCTGTGTCTAGATCAATGTCGTGTTGATACTTTGAAGTACTCACGCTCTCGACTCGAGACATTGCCTGTAGTAAGCGCCATCACATGATGACTTCTTCTTCATCCCGACTTCCTGTGAAGAGACAGAGTCTTCTTGATTGCTTTGTATTAAAGCTTACCTTGCCGTTTAAGATGTAGCTCCTCACTGTACTTGCGCCTGAATAATGTCACCTGAGCTTGTATAGCTGGCTGACCACTACTCAACTCAAGCAAAAACGATATCCTCCACCACCATCAAAATCCTTGAGGCTAATTAGACATCTGTCAAGCCACCTAGATGGCCAAAAAGATCGACGTTGGCCAGATTCGAACTGACGCTCCCGAAGGAACAAGATTTCTAGTCTTGCGCGATAACCACTCCGCCACAACGCCCCCGTTTTATTGGTTCGATGAAGAAACGAGCATATTGAACATTCATATAGCGAGTCTGAACGTCAACAGAGCATTGCGGCATCATCGTATCTCGTACAACATAGTCGGGCCGCTTTAGCCCACCGAGTACGCCGGATCTTAGTCCATCCCCCGGAAGGTTCCATGGCACGAACGAAACCTCTATAGCCTGCCCTAAAACAAAGTTTGGACGTTTTCAAACTTCCCGTCCCCATCTGAGCCAGCGAACTCAAAACACGTGCAATCTGCCTTGAACGTTCTAGATCACGTCGTTCACGATCTGTTCACGAACTGCTCACATCGATTATCCAGTGTCATCACTCGGCGATCGGATCTCGCCAGACTAGCCGCACGAGGAACTCGTGTTCGTTGAGTTTGCCCTGCAATCAAAATCTGCACGGACGCACGTCTGAACACCCAAACACCAGTTCCTCGCATGTCTTGGGCCATTCAACGACACAGTGTCACAATTTTCGAGTTGAAGTTTACGGCCGACTACCCGGCGGCATCAACTCCAGATGCAGAAAGAACGACGAAGAGCCAATCGTCCAGCTTCCTCGACAGGGTAACGCGCGACAGGAAACGTGCGCGCTAGCGCTAGGCGTTCCGTCTCATCACCGCCCTTCTGCATGCTGAGAAACCCGTTGCCTTGGTCAATCAGTCCGTCGGAACGCCAACGTCCCGCCATAAACTCGGCCGTTACAACACGACATGCGTCAGTACGGTCGGAATGGTTGTCTTGGTTTGCAGTCAGAAACACGCGTCGACGTCTATCGTGACCAGCCAAGCGCAATTTCACCTGAGCAAAAGTCGCCGTCTATCCTTTCGTCATCAGTACATCGCTGGGAAAATCATTTCTAACTTCTAATACTTCTACCTAATCTTTACATCAGCCGTGGCTGCTAATCGTTGAAACCCTCGTCTGCCGTACCCTTGATGCGATAACATTAGTCCAGCATGGTGTATCGCGGGAGACCGTCAACAGGGTGCAAGAAGTGTCGCGAGAGAAAGATCAAGGTACGTCCAGCTCTCTTATATGTAATCATGTAACCTGGCTTGGTTTTCCGACAAGGGCATGCAGTGTGCGGTGTTCGCGTTGGGCGCCGCAACCCGCGACTAGCTTCTTCCCAACGCGGTATCCTGTGCGAGAGGCTATCCGCAGATACAGCACCCATTCGCAGCGGTAACTTTGTCCGACTTCTTGACTCGAGCCGCTGACTAGATTGCAGTGCGATGAACGGCCAGAGGGCTGTATCAAGTGTGCCGAACGCAACTTCAAATGCCCGGGATACGATCGAACCGTCGACGCCTTTTTCCACGACGAGACCAAACACGTGCAGACAAAAGCAAAGATATCAAACGCCAAAGCCATCGCCGCACGTGATGCGCGAGACATCAGAGATGTGCGCGAGGCCTATCTCCAGATCATGGCGAAACAATGTCCGGGGACCGCCATCACAGCGTCGCTCATCGACCAAGGCATCAGCTTCTTCATGTCGTACTATTGCACAGGAGTGGACCAGCCGTCCATACAGTCAATCGAGTACCAGCAACATCTCTCTACGCATGGTTTCCATCCGCTCGTGTCTACGACCATGACAGCGCTGGGCATCGCCGGTGTAGCCAACCTCTACATGGACCCTCGTCTGAAAGCCGAAGCGACACGCTGGTATCTTGAGGCTATCAAGATGGCCAACAAGGCAATCTCTTCGCCTGAAGCTGTCAAGGCCGATAGCACTCTCACAGCTGTCAATCTGCTTAGTATGTTCGAAGCAACGTTCAACGACACCTCTCTGGCTGGATGGAGTAACCACGTCGATGGTGCTGCATCTCTCATCAGACTCAGAGGCATGGAGCAATTCTCTACTCCCGCAGGACAACGCATGTACCTCCACACCGTTGGCCTACTCACTATGAACTGCATGGGAAAGGGCATTCCCCTTCCTCAATATGTCCACGATCTGAACAGCGAAGTCATGAAGCATTTGGATACACACGACCCAAGAAATCGATTCTTCTTCCTCCACATCAAGACCATCGACCTACGAGCTCGCATCCTCAATCAGTCGGCGTTCGCGTTGTCGGAAATCATAGATTCGGCACTTGAACTTGAAGACATTGCTGTCAACATCTTCAAGGATCAAGGGGCAGACTGGGATTACGACGTCGTGCATTGCGAGAAGAGTGAACGTATCTTTGAGAACTTCTACCACGTCTACCCGACTGCGACAGCAGCTCAGACTTGGAACTGGGTGCGTTACAACAGAATCTACTTCCACGACATTATCCGGAACTGCATCCTGGCAGGGTTCGCAACTAGTCCACCGACGCTTGCTGGCAGCAGATACCACGAGCAGCTTGCGAAAAGCGCGCGCATGTTGTACCAGTTGCAGTCCGATATCATAGCAAGCATGCCCCAGTTCATGCATGATGTTCCCGATTCTGCGCCGAGCAGAGCGACGACCCCACCCGATGACGTTTACGACGAACCGCGCACGTCGGGACGAGGCGCACCATGGACGGCATCCGCTGCGCCAGCAAGCCCATACCGTATAGCCCTCAAATCGCTTGATGGCAACTTCCGAGGTAACACCTACGGGCTCGTCAAAGCTCTTCTCGGGAACGGATCTGTAAAGGACCGGCTTCCTATCGTGCGCGTCGCGGGAGGATACAGTACTGTATGGGCGCTTTACGTGGTACGTCTATTCATCGTCAGCGGTATGTTCTTGCTACTAACAACCAATGTTCTAGGCCGCCGCCATGCCCATGGCCTCACCTGAAAGCCAAGACTTTGTCCAAAAATACATGTCGCGCATCGAGCACGAGTTCGGCATCAAGCAAGCCCGCGTCTTGGGCCAGGCCCTGCGCCTCAAGCGGTACCTCGACCAGAAAGGCGCTATTGCGTTTGGCATCTGTCCGGAGTACCTACCGCCTGATGGGACAGAAACATATGTTTCGCATCAGCATTTATACAGCAAGGTTGTCGAGGAGACGGACGAGTCGCCGTAGAAGTCGTTCCTTGGAGATCGGGATGTGGGCTCAGATGAGGTTGGTTCTCGAGTCTTCGATACGGCAAAGTCTGTAGACGCTGTTAGCGACGACCCGGGTGTAGCAAGACTTGATCAACTCCACAAGGTCTGCAGTACTACCGAGTATGAGCGAAGGCTCGAGGAACGTTGCAAACAGCCTGTACAGGGCGGCGAACGGGCATAGTGGTCCTCCGGCGTACACATCGGCTTCCACCGGGACAATGAATACCTCCCAAACGCGCTCGTGCGTACAGTACCGTCCACTGCGGTCGAATGTTTTGCCGTCGCACGATGCATTTATACCCCTCCTTTCTTCGAGCCCCAGGATATCTTGAGCGACCAGACCGTACGACTTTCCTAGTCGTTCCACACACTCGCCTTCGTTCACGACGATCTCCATCAACCATGGCTACTCCCTTCCTTCCACAGCCGGGCTCGCCTCTGCTTCAACTTCCCGGAGAGCTCCGCAACAAGATCCATCGGAACGTCTTCAAGCAGGAGGGCCACATCTTACTGGTACCATCGACCGTCATTCCGGGGCCGGTCATGGTTTGCGCGATTCCAGACATTGAGTTGCTTAGTACCTGCCGCCAGTTTTACAACGAAGCCAGAAGTATACTTTTCTCGGACAACACCTTCATGCTATCTACGCAAATGGACGCTTTCACCGACGCTTCGACCCTGGGACTCCTTAGCAGGTGGATGGCAGGTCTTGGTTCCAACCTCGATTACGTGCGCAAAGTCGTCATCGATCTCGAGCCTCTTTGCCCGGGATTATGTCAGCCTGCCCATGATAGGATCGACCTGAAACCTATCATGATGATGATCTGGCGATATCAGGATATACTCACAAGCCAAGGCAATCGACAGCGCGCGAAGATTGAGGTGTCATACGCGTTCTCGGGACGAGATCTTCGTTCACATGACCACTGGAGCACTCCAATCCCGTACCCCATCAACAAGTCCAATCTCAATGCGCTGATTACACTGTTGACGCCTCAGCGTAGTCCGGAAATGAGCCCCTATCTACGAGCACCCCGGTCGCTTCACAGCATCGAGGCCACAGTCGACGGTCTACAAGCCACGTTCATCCTGAAAAAGTCTAGCCATCAACGTCCCGATGATGCCGCCCTTCCAATCATTCCATACGATGTGGACAGCAACGGACAACTTAAAAGGATGCAATTCCTCCCTAGCCGGATGCTCCGTCTTGCGAATCTGCTTTACTCGACCTCGATCAAGCAGAACCTCCTTGGTATGCTTATGGAGTCAAACGACCATCATTGTCTTACATTCAACATTGAGAGCCGAACAATCTCACGCCGCCTACCCGAGTTATTTTCGATCAATCGCCAGTTCCGAAGAATTGCCCTCAAACAGTGGCAGCACATAGATGTCATTGGAAAGATGACGTCACGTAGCGCACAGGCTTCGTTCGATGATTTCGCATCGATGCAGGCTTGGTGTGCGGCTAGTGGACTATTCTTCCCTGATAAGTGGGATGAGCGCCCTGATATTCCACCTACTCTGAAGATGCGCTTTGAGCTACCGGAGCGAGAGGACTTTTCATGTCTCCGGATCTCGATCACCAACATTATCATGGCAACACTCGAACTCCCTGTGAACTCACGGCTGTGGGTTGAGCAGTTTAATGGCGGCCTGCCCCTTCAATACCAGACGGGAAAGCTGTACAGACTTCAACGGCAGATGTTTGTCTTTCTCGCTGACGTACTGCACTTACACCCAGATCGCAGTAACGAAGCCTGTCCCGACGTTATCATGGACGGCAAGTGTATTATCAAAGACATCGAGTATGAGCGGGATGATGGTAGTAAGTTTACAATCAAGTACGAGAGGGCGGACGAGGACCTTGAAGAGATGGAAGAGGACATCGAAGACTGGATCAGTCATTTCATCGAACAGGAAGAGGTGGATATAGCGGCTTACGTACCCACTATCGCCTACCAAGATGATGACCCTTTCGGTAACATCGTTGAGAAGTTCCGGTACGACTTGAGCGCGCCCCACCACCCTTCTTTGCGCGGAGTAATTACAAAGCTGGCGTGCTTCCTATACGGAGCTGATGTAACTGGTGAGTACTGGGACTGATGTCACTTTGGTGGAAGACACGAGAATAGGTACCCAGGTTAGATAGTTTGATGTATGTGGTAGCGCTCAAACAATCTCAAATGATCATCTGAACGTCTCATGCGCCATGTAAAACAGCAAAGTGTCATTGTGATCCAGCGCGTATGCCCATATAAGTTGTCCATTCATCTACTTCGCCCACCGACAGCCGAGAGAAGCTGTCCCTGGGACTATAAACACAATAGTGACGATGTCGCCAGCTAACGCCCTACCACCTCCTTACACGACTCGCCAACTCCGCCGTTACACTCGCTACCCCAAACTCTACGCCGAGCGAAGATATCCGCATCCCTCCCCTCCCTCCAGCCAGCCCAGTCAGCCATTCCGGCTCATGAAGCTCCCCGCCGAACTCCGCTGCATGATCTACGCCTCCGCACTCACCCTACCTTTCCTCATCGAACTCTGGCCCGAAACAGACAACCCCATCGCCTCACACCAAATCGTGACCGCAAACCGCAACATGCAGTACCTTAAAGTCAAGATGCGGCAACACGGCGTGAATCTGAATCTGCTGAGAGTGAGCAGACAGGTAAGACATGAAGCTACGTTTTACTTTTACAGAGAGAACGAGTGGCGCTTCAGTGGTATGAATGGGTGGATGGTTGCTAGTGCGTGGATGTTCACGAGTGCGTTCATGTTCACTTCAAGAGAAAAGTATGCGTGGCAGTATATCAGATGTATCACACTGCCGTTGCCGGTTCGACACACGGCGCAGGGGCGGGCGCAACAGCGATGGGGGATGATTAGGCCGGCGGTGAGTAAGCGCGCGGGTGTCAGGCTGGCGAAGCAGATGCCTTTCGATGTTCCTGACGAGTGGAAGTATGAGAGTAGTGTTAAGGATGTTTGTGTCGCGTTAGGAAAGTGTATGAATCTGGAGGTGCTGAGACTTGTGCTGCCGAGGTGGTGTAATATGGAGGTCGTTGATGAAGGGGTGATGGAGGATTTTGTTGAGCGGATTAAGGGGCTGAGGGAGGTTGCTGGTACTAAATTGAATGTGCAGGTGGTCAGACTGAGTGGGCAGAAGATGACAACTGGAGGTTTGATCATGGCGGACGCGAGGCAGGAGAAGTATATAGAGGGGTGCATGGAGAAGGGGTGGGAGATTAGGACGGCGAAGTGCGATAAGTTTGGGAGGTACGATGTTGTGGATATGTGATAGGAGTCAAGTATTCGACTCCTCCTCCCAAGCACAGGATGCGCGGTGAAATGAACTGAATGCGTCTTTATCTAGCGCATAGGTACCGATCGAAGCCCCTCTTGATCTACGAAGATAGGGACGGTTTCTCTGCAGATTGCATCGGAAGAGGGTGTGGCCGGAAAGCGATAAGCTCACCGCTAGCTTCCAGCTGATCTAGAAGAACAGGCATATCCACTCTGGTTAGCTGGATGCGTTCTTATGCGGACGGATACCAGCAGCCTAGATGAATGCTTCATTTCGAAAAGTACGCCTTCACGCGATTGGCTGCTGCGGCACCAACGAACTCCGATCTTAGGGGCGTGAAATGACTTTAGGCTTTCTGAAAATGCGATTGAAGATCTTTCGTCACAGTGTTTCAGTCTGGCAAAATTTTCGTGTCCAATCTGCGCTTGGGCATCATCGCAGCGGTCAAGACGAGTTGTGCATTGCTTCCTCTAGCTGACGACGTGTACAATCGTAGCTATCCGGGTAGATGCATGCTGTTGCAGTACGGTGAGGATTTGGCAGGGGATGATTCTGGACCGGGCTGTTGTCGTTGCTTGTGCCGTGTCGGGGACTTTCGCAATCGGGAGGAAGTGGAGATGCGCAAAAACCCCGCGCCACATCCCTGAGCCACATCGTTACGCCACACTTGTGCGGTCCGCTGCTGCGGCCCTTCATGAAACCTGGGCAGTACATTCTCACTTTCGATATTACTCCGTCTTGGACGACACGAATTCGCATCTCCCAAGCATACCTAGGTAGCTACACAGATCTAGAGATCGCGAAGGACCGAACAAGGGTCGTTTCGACGCAGGATGCAAAATGGCAGTCGTGCAATCGGAAGACAACTACCCGATCGCGACCAGCGAAACACGGCACGACACGCGCAGTACCCACGACTCCACGACTCTACGTCGATCAGTAATCGACGTGCCATGACACAGTACTACTAACTACAACAACATGTGTATTCCGTGGATGGGCTGAGCGGTCGTTTGACGACCAGCCTTGGACGTCGTCTCGAGTCGCAACGCTGCTAACCTCCAGGGCGGTTGGCGTCAGCCGGCTGCATCAACCTGGCAAGCAAGTCCTGTCAGCGACTCTTGAACACGCGGGATCCTAAGCAGCGTGGTGAACAGAGATACACCTAGGAATGACAACTGGGCGTCATGCACGACACCTGTTTGCGCGACATGACGTGCCAAGACGCCCCGAGCTGGTGTTTTACGCCCTCCAGGCAGCGTCGCGATTGGCGGAGATATCGAAAAGAAAGTCATTGAAACTATCTCACACTCTAGCCAGATTCTAGCGCAAGGCTCGCCCCGTGACACGAATCGCAAATGTGTCTTGGCAGGACCCCAATGATGTTCCCGGAGAAATGCTTGACTGGCCAGACGTTTTCGAACAACGAGCGGAAATTTCAGTTCTCCTTGGCGTTCCAGATAGGTGGTTACGATGTGGATATTTGAGCGGTTTCATGTCAAAGCTTGGCATTTTGGCGAGCGTTGGCGTCGGTGTGACAGGCTGGATCCAGCACTAGTCGATCGGACATGTAACGACTTCCTGGCTTCCGGTGGTGAATCAATTGTCGTGTGCGTTCGTGTGGCGTTCCAGAACACGATGTCTCTCAAGTCGTCTCCCAGAACTCGTCTTTCTGAGATGCAAACTGATGTCTTATCGCGCTGATGATGATGAGAGTTGAGTCTGGAAGACAAGACGGTGCTTACTGGATAATTCCCTTTACCAACTCCACAGTACAAATGAGCGTGGCCTGGGTGCTTTCGAGATATCCCGCCCTGAGCGCGTTTCCGACCCCCAAGCCCCACCAGAGCACGGCCCTGACGTCCTACACAACCCTGCGAGCGTCTTCTTCTGGGCCATCCTACTCACATTCGCATGACACTCTGGGCCTGGGCTCATGAGTACCGCCGGAGAGGAACAGTACCCTGTCTTCCACATGGCACATCTTCGGACGAATGTGGAGTGCCTCAGTGTGGCACCCAGAAGACGAGTTGAGGGGGAGTATAAGTATCACAGCGACCACCGGCAAAAAGGAATCACCACCACCATCACATTCATTCAGTCTATTCTTGCTTGAAGCATCCACTTTCGCTACCTCTTTCAGAGACTTACATTCTTTATACATACTTTGTTCAAAGCATCCTCTTCGACTTTCCAGTTTCGATCAACCAATTCAACCGTCAACATGAAGTTCTCCATCGCCATCGTTGCTGCCATCACTGGCTTCGCCGCCGCCGGTCCTGCCGCCGTTACTCCTTCCGAGTTCTCCTCCTTCGCCAAGCGCGCCTCCCTCCCGATCCCCGCCTCCAAGGGCTCCGTCACCTACAAGGCTCCCCAGCAAGTCAGCGGAACCTTCGATGGTGGCATGAAGACCTACGGCCGTGGTGCTAGCTGCACTGGCCAGGTCGAGGGCGGTGACAAGGACGCTGTCTTCCTCATCAAGAACGGCGGAACTCTTAAGAACGCTATCATCGGAAAGGACCAGATTGAGGGTGTCCACTGCGAGGGTGAGCATTCCTCCGTACAAAGAACGAGTCATGGATACTAATCTGAACCAGGATCCTGCACCATCGAGAACGTCTGGTGGGTCGACGTTTGCGAGGATGCGCTTTCCCTCAAGGGTGACGGAAACGCCATGATCAAGGGCGGAGGTGCCCAGGCCGCTGATGACAAGGTCATCCAGCACAACGGAAAGGGCACGGTCACCATTGACGGCTTCAGTAAGTCCCCCGACACTACACTCCTCTGAACACCACTAACAGCCCCCAGCCGTTATGAACTTCGGCAAGCTCTACCGTGCCTGCGGTAACTGCAAGAACAGCGTCGCCCGCTCCGTCGTCATCAAGAACGTCAAGGCCTACAACGGAAAGGTCCTTGCCGGTATCAACCCCAACTTCGGCGGTACCGCTACCATCTCCGGCACCTGCGCTACCTCCGTCAAGACCATCTGCGAGGAGTTCAAGGGCACCAAGCCCGGCTCTGAGCCCAAGTCCGTCTCCAAGGGCCCCTCCGGCAACTGCAAGTACACTGCTTCTGCTGTCAAGTCTTGCTAGACGAGTACTTCGACTCGCTCGGCCCTTTAGCAGGGTGAGAGTGTTGTGGTCATCGGGGATGACTGGGTGGTAGATGTGGATTTTGGAACTTTTGAGGATTCTTTGTATATATAACCTTTGCACACATGCAGTGCATGTAATCAACTTGCTTCAGCACATCTCTGTTCTCGATATTATGGTGATCTCAGCCTTGCCTCAGGTCCGTTCGAATTCGTTGGTGTTGTACTAAAGCGATAGCGAGGATGCGACGACTACTCCACACTTGATTGCTGTCATACTCTGTCACAGGGCGAGGCGTACACAATAATGCGCCATAGTGACAGTGAGGTGTTGTCGTTGAGGTAGCTCGGTCTAATTCGGCGGTACTGGGGAACTTTTGTGAGATTGATTAATCTATCGTCGGCTACCTGCAGCTCATTTAATCTACTACGGAAGCATCGGAGCTAATGCCTGGGCAGATGAAACACAGTAAGTCTTTCTCAAAGTTGTAAAGATCAGCAGTCAAATAGGTAGGGAATTGTATGACTTTTGGCATTAGGGTTCACGACAAGAGTGTGGCTACCACTTCTATACGCCCGCTACAGTCTTGGAAGACACTGTGTGTGGCAACGCACTTTCAACATGAGATTGAGAAACAACTATTAGGAGATAGGGAAAAGGTACATCCCGCGACACCGCTCCGTGGCAGTGAGGACAAGGAAGTCAAGAAATCCAAAAGCAACGCAAGTGAGCAAGGCGGTGACGTCATTTCTGACACTTCGCCGAGCTTTGAAAAGAAAAACAGAAACCAAATGATACCGTCACCCTGGGTATAACGCGCCGGTAAACAACGGACTGGAAGCGCTAGCCATCACTCGCTGCGACGCTTCTTCACAGGCGCTTTCTTGCGAGGTGCTTGGCCAGCTGGGTCCTCTGCAACGAAGGTCTCTTCGCGAGCGCGCTTCTTGCCCCTTGAGGCCTTCTTGACCTTTGTAGACTCTTCGCTGTTGGAGCCCTCCTCGTCGTCCTTTTGGGTTGCCTTGTCGCCCTTGTCTTCGCCGCTTGAAGAAGCTGCCGCGCTGCTTGCTTTCTTTATCGCCTTCTTACCTGCCCGAATCTGCTGACCCTTGTTGACGTTGGCAGTCTTGTTGGTGGCCGTGCGGTGGATCAGGTTGCGGGGGTTTGCGATGATGGTGTAGAAGCGGGAACCCTTCATGATGTCTTGACAAGACGTCTTGGAGTACTGAGTACGGTTAGCTTCAATTCGTATAACTACCAAGACAGAATACTTACGTGAAGCAGTTCCCGAAGACCTTCGAACCGATCTTCAAACGTGTAGAACTGGGTGAGCTGACATTGCTCACGCTCGTTCTGGTCGAAGATCTGCTTGGTCCAACCGTCGGTGTGGATTTTGATCAGCTCTTTCTGTGTTACATTAGTGATGGCAGAAGCATACAGTTCGGTTTAAACTTACTACAAGCAGGCCAGCAGCTGCATTGTACTCTTCCGGGAAATAGTACTTGGACTCAGAGTTCCACCGATTGTTAGATGACTTGACATCGGCCTTCTCCCGGATGTTTAAGACGTTGTGCATCGCCACGTCAAGAGCATCGACGCAAGCCTTGATCTCCTTTTCTGTTGTAGGAATGGTCATATCGTTGGCAGGCGCCTTCCACATCGTACCACTGAACTCAACTCCAGTGTTGGTACGAACCATGGTGATAGACTCGCCCATCTGCCCGTCCATACTGGTCTTGGCCTTCAGCTTCCTGATCGCGGCCCGGGCTTGCTTCTCTTTTTCGAGAATGTGTTTGGGTGTGGTGGATTTAACAGCGCCCGCGCTGTCAGCGCCTTCAGCAGCTTGCTCGCCAGTTCCAGCGTCCTTGTTCTCGGACAGCTGGGGCGCAGGTGAATCACCGGTCGCTACTGGGTGGTTGATTACGGGTGCGTTGTGGTTGGTGACAGGCGGGTGGTGCCTCATGAACGTATCAGGGGTCGCCGACGTAGGTGGCGGCGCTGATCTAACTCGCGGTCCAGGTGCATATTGAGGCCCTGGTGCGTGTTGCGGGCCTGATGGGTGTCGTAGCACTGGTGCGCGATGCAGTCCTGGTACTTGTGGGGGCAAGTATCCATATTGAAATCCTGGCGTAGGGCTGACGATTGAATCGGGCGGGGCTACCGGTCCACGAGCTGTTGATGGCGGGTGGCCCCCTGTCGACGGGTAGAACATGACTGGCGCATGACCCGGCTCTGATACATGAGTCGGTACTGAGCCTCGGAAATCTGCTGGTGCGTGACGAGAGTCTGGTCCGCGATGAGGTGCTGGTGTGGAAGAGGGCGATGATGCAGCGCTCAGAGGCTGCGCATAGCCTGACGGTAGTCCTTGCATCCTGGATGGGCGGCTTGTATGTGATGTGTGAACAGGCGCTGATGGATAGTTCGAAGGAATTCCAAAGTCTTGCACTTGCCTATGGCCCAGCACTGGGTCCCGACGTATGAAATTCGGACGGCCGCTCGATGACGTAGGGGTCGGCGTTGGGGTCTGATTCACGATTGGCGCGTTCGCCGACTCATTCATCCAGCCGGGCGATGGTGTACGATCATGTGCTAAGACCGGACGCCCAGTGTTTTGGACCGGGTCAGCCGCAGTCGAAGGGTACATAAAGTCGTTGCCCAAGCTGCTGGACGAGCCTAGAAGAAGTCAGTGTGAGCGCGCGACACAGAGTGTATATCATATCGACTTACCGAAGGCTACGTTGTTCTCTCGCTGATACGGGTGACCAGTCTCTACCTGATTGTGACCTCCTTGCAGGTTCCAGTCATGGGCCGACTGTCCGGGTACGCTCTCGCCAGGAGTGTACATATTTCCTTGATGGTCGAGATAGCCGCCGTTGTCTCCGAGACTCTCAGAAGGGAACAAAGGAAAGTTATCGCCGTAATCAAACAGGCTTTGGTCGTTCTGGCTGAAGCCGTCCTGTTCGATTGGGCCAGGATGTGTTGAAGCTACCGGCGCGATAGAAGAGCTCGATGGGACAGTGTTCTGCTGCATAAGCCTCGCAAAAAAATCGTAGTCGAGTTCGTCGGTGATTGAGTCGTCGATCTCAGGAGTGGAGGGGTTGTTGGAATTCATTGTAGAGATGTCGTCGTCGTATGCAATGAATCTTGTGGGTTGCAGTTGTGAATCGAAGTGGTTGAGGGGGGTAATTTTTCCTTGAGAGTTCGAAATGAAGCCCCAGAAATACTCTCACGGAGGTACCACGCGCTAGGAGTTTGTTTGTGGCGTGGAGCAGAAGGCTCCCAACTCGGAAAGAGTGGATCAGAGGGTGAATCACGTGTTCACACGGCGGTCACTCCAAGGCGGGGGAGGGGCGATTAAGGAGGAAATCACTGTAGCGCCAAGCCCAAAGCGTGAGGGCGACCGAAGTGTTCATGCAGGCGGCAAAACCAGTAGCGATACTACGTATCAACTTTCGAGGCATCGCGCTGTCTCTTGCCAGTCAAGTATATAAACCCAACTAAACTAAATATAAGTAAGCCAGAGCCCCTCGACGCCGTCTAATATAGCGAAATGTAAGTGCAAGAGTCCTACTGTCGACTGTATATATCTCTTTCTAGGCTTGTCCTGCTGCATCCGTTCCTCCGTACCATTCCAAATGGTACGAACTTGGTGAATGGGGTTTGAAAGACAGTCCCCAAGGAGATGTGAAAGAGCAAGGAAAGCGAGATTGCTTGCGGAACCGGGAAAGACAGCCTACCCATAAGTGTTCGAGGATTCCACGTCACTACTTAACTACTACCGCCCAGGTGTTTGTCTCAACCGACAAAGCACTCCCAGATATTGCACTCGACAAACTATTCCGGCAAACGCAAAGACTCTTCCAAACTCAACCTTGACAGCTACGCCGGTCAACCGAGTATGCTCGCTCGCCTGGAATAGTAAGCGGGAGACGACAATACCGACTCAACTAAACTCCAGGTAGACGTTTGCTGTGTCGTGCTGTCTCGACCAAGGCATGCCGAATGGAGCAACCAAGAAACCCGATCTCTATTGGACTTTCAGTCGGATCAGAGAGCTCAAGACAAAGAAAGTAAGTCCATCCATCAGCCGCTCGGTAGCTTATGACTCGGACGGTATTGTGTCTTTGACGGCACGTGCTCGCTGATTTTTGCGACAAGAACTTCCTTCGAAATCATGCCGAAGGCCGCGTCTTCAGTTATGAGATCTGAAAAGGAGAAGTTGAGCGATTGAATGTGATGGCGACGCGGAGCGAGCCCATCAACCTGCAGTCGCTGCAGCCGCGCGTTCGCCGCGGAGAGTGGCGCATCGCGACAGTCCGAGGAGCATTCCCTGGACATGACTGCACTCGATGAAAGCTTACGGAAGTGTGCAGCACCAGTCCTCGCAAGAAGCAAGAAGCGGCCGTGCACCAGGCGAAGTCCATGAAGGTTTGTCGTTGATTTTGAGGTGGGATCAATGCGCGCTAGCGACGGCGAGTCTGCCCCTCGTTCCTGCCTTCCTTCTCCGCAACCTACAACTTCATCCGCTTCCACCAAACGTCGACAGCATCGTCAATCTCGCCACCGCCGGGTCCTTCTTTTTACTGATACTTTCACCCAGGGAGGCAATTGAATCTCATGTCTTCATGTGATCAACGGTCCAGACCTTTCCCGACGCTGGCTTCGATGGCTGTGCTGCCATAAAAGTCGACGGGCTACGCCGACGCCCACCACCACCACCGCGACCCTCACAATGCTGCACCGAACGCGATCTTGCCAACGCTTCTCCGATTGAGATCATCGGCAACATGAGCTCAACTGACGGCGCGGTACAGCCACTGCCCTTTCGACGCGTCTGATGACGCCGCCATCGCCCGAGACAAACATGCCAAGGCAACATTCCCTCCTCGCCGCGCACCAGCCAGTCAGGTATGCAAACTCATTGCACTTCTAAACTTTTCGCGCCCATATTCACAGCCACTAGCATCCAACTCTTCTCCACACACCGTGATGGCATACCACGCCGTAGTCATGCGGCTGCCGCTGCCGTCGAGCCACTCGACTGGCGCAACCTAGATGACACCCCACCCAAGGTTCAACTCCTAAGCAAGAGCGACTTCCAACACGAGAACGTCGGATTCAAATGTAATGGAAGCATTCTCTCCTACCTCTGGTCCCGGTCTCGTTCCCGATCAAGAATGTCCACCTTCCCGCCGGGTAAGGAGGTCACATGACGCATCCCGTCTGGACCGCTCTTGCTTGGAAAGACCCCGGTGATACCTGAAAGAGAAGGGACTACATCATCTCATGGTACTGTGTCGCATGAAGTGTATTGCTGCTTGCCAGTCTTGGTCCTTGGTCGACGAAGATCCGTTCGCGTCTTTATGATATGGACTTGCACATGCACTTGCAGGACATACAGCGCCCCATCAAAAAGCCGGACAGAACGCGTGTAGGCCTAGCAAGACGGACTTGCTCATGCATACGCGGGTCATACAACGCCTTATCGCACATCTGGAGAGGTTGCAAAGCGCAGGTCTGGCAAGACGTTGCTTTGTCGGAACCTGAACGGTATGTAGTCGGTCGCGCGCTCTGTCGCTGCCAGCTGCAATCGTATATGCTGACGGGCCTGCGACGGCCTCGCGCATCCGTATTGTCGCCGGTCTTCATAAGGTCCCTATGGTACGCCATTAGCTCTTATGTCTTTCAGTTCAACAAGAAGTCATTCTATGTAAGGTAGTCAGTGTGTTAACATAGGTCACAGGCAACATCGCACGCGACAAGGCCATATCGCACGACGCCGACCTCGCGCAGTATCCCAGGCAAGACGGACATCACGACACCACACGCTATCGACATGCAGCAAGTGCTACGAGGTCTTGTGGATCGGGGCAATGGGTCGTGGGTGTAGCAAACGCTCAGGTCCTAGGTGAATGCGAGGATGCCAAGACCCTTGGACGCACGTTACTCACGCCTTTGCTGTCGATACGCACGCAGCCCCCCCAGCAACAGGCACCGATCATAACAACAGACCTTTGTCTTCTTTCACAGAACGCACCTGACATCCTCTTGGCTTACAAATCGTCCGCGGTTGTCACAGGCGACCTTCAATTTCCTACTTCACTCCGTCGTCGCCTGCGTAAGCAGTACACCAGATCCACTTCAATCCGCAGCAATTCGCGCATGATCTTTCACTAGCCCGGTGGTCAAGCCTTGCGAACATAAAGATCGGGAGACTCCCGCAGCCAGTTCACCCCCACGCCGCATAGATCTCATCAATTATTCGAGTAAGTTCCACCGGTGCTGGAAAATAGATGCTGGAGTTCACTAACAGGTGTCTTAGTTGCAAGCAGTAACCGTTGAAACCAAAACCCCAGCCGCCGCCCCAAATACCCCAATATGACCGACCACGACCCCAATAAGGACACCCCCAAGGGCACAACCAACAAGAACCTGATGGTGACCCAGAGCCAGACTGCATCTCCCTCAACTCCCGTTGGTGCTCGTGCTCCCGTTCCCTTCGGTCCTCCCATTCCCCGCCTTGCGGACACGCGCCTGGAAAAGGTCCCCGGCGGTCTCAAGGATCCGTCTCGCATTAAGACCAAGATTTCCCAGCTTCTGGACAAGGACGGTGACTATCCAGAGGTCGACGGCTTCCGCTTCAAGACCCTAGAAGAAGCTAGGGCGCCCATGGACGAGCCTCAGTGGTATTCTCCAGAGGTCGACCCCTCCATCCCCGAGACCGACGCAGAGTATCGTAAGTTCGTCAAAATGTTGATGCTAGCTTTCAAGGATATGACCAGCGCCAAGGACACCCAGGGCAACGCTTACCGCAAGCGGCTAACTCCGGGTGAAGGTGTCTATTACCAGGACTGGGCTATTGAAGCGTGCTCCTGGGACATCGTCGGCATGGCCAAGGACATTCACCTGAACGGCTTCAAAGTTCGCATCTACGATAAGACCATCATCGACAACATCAGCCAGACCAAGGACTGGACCTTCGGACAGCGTATAGAGTGGATCTGTGAGGTGCTGAAGACCTCCAAACAGACCGGCGTTACACTGATGAAGAACGAGAAGACCTGGACTACGATTGGCGCTCCCCACAAGCTGTACAGTAGCACCATCGTCAACTGCGTCTCGAACGCCCACCGCGGCCAGTGGATCAAGGTCGGCCGTGACAACGACCAGCACCATCAGAATCGTCCGATTCGGGGTAGGCGTACTGCGGCTGAGATGATCGCGTCCGGTGACCACGATGACACTGACGGTCCTGGAGCAACTCAGGGTTCTCAGATGATGTTACAACCGCGACAGTCGGCTCAGAAGCGCCAGAAGCGTAGTCAACCGGGTGTGAATGTCATTCGGCATGAGCACCCAGCCATGGCCACTGACTCTGAAGGCGAGATGTCTCCCGGCAAGATGACGAAGAAGAAGACCTCAGAAGAGCGTAGGACCACAACCCAATACAACTCAACATCCCCCACCTCCTTTGTTCAGTCAGAGACTTCGGCATCTCAGCGGGATGAGCACCACCCTGGTGCTGACATGGGCGTTACCTTTTCGAATGTACTTCCCGTGCAGCATGTCGTCGCTGTCCCCGTGCAAGCTGCTCGAAAGAACGGTGTCCAAGCTGGTGATGTTGTCTCCAAGGATGCTTTCAGCAGGGACGTATTCAGCGAGGGTGCTAATGGCAAGAACGCCTCTAACGACGGCGGGGACGGCTCCATCAAGGATAAGGGCAAGGGCAAGATGAAGAAGACTAAGGACACCGGTTTCGTCAACTACCATTGCGGAACTAAGGGCATGGACGAGCTTGACTCGGACATCTTTCGAGCGGCAAGTCGCGCGCCAGGAGGCTTCACCCGAACCGGATCTCCCTCGTCCTCTGAGCTCTCCGATGCACCTGATGATCTGCTATCTCCTGGCTCTGGCTCTCCAACTCCCAACCACAAGCAGAAGGAGCTGCTGGACGACCCCGAGGACAAGGTTTCCATTGAGGAGTACGCCAAGCTTCGGGGTGAAATGGATGAGCTGAAGGCGGCGCAAGCTGAGACCGACAAGATTCTGGCGGCACTCCGCGCGGAGAACGCGCGCTCGTTGGCCTCGTTCCATCAGGGCTCTTGAGTAGCA